AACGGCGGACGCTCGGGGAAGGGGAGGAGAAGGAAGCGGCCGCGACGCATCTCGGGAAGGGGGAAGTCTGTCGCCCGCGCACTGCATGCTGGGAGGGGGTCAGAGGTGAGAGGTCAAGGGCTGGGCGCGCGGTTCGGTTCGCGGGGCCTTTTGTCTGCACGCGGCCGGCGGCCGCCCTGCCCCGTGAGTGGGGGCGCGAGGGGCGGGCACCGTCGGACCCCCCCCCCCCGGGCCGCCGCCAGTCCGCTCCCAGAGCGAGCCCCCGCCGTACGGCCTCCCGCCCCACCTGCCGCCCGTCCCCGGCGGTGTAGTGCGGCCCCGCCCGCGGGGCTGTGGCTCCCCCTGACACCCCCCCCGGGGGTCTGTTAATAGGCTGGTGGCGGGTAAGGCTCGCGCTGCCCCAGTGCCCAACGGCGGCTCGGCTGGGCTGGGGGCAGCTCCCCTAGGGCCGGAGGGAAACTCGCACCATATTTCCCTGGTGTCAAGTTCCTTGTTGCTTTTTACATATTTCCCTGTAACGCCCGCCCGCAAGAGCAGCTCTGCTGCGAGACGGGCTGTTACTGCCCCTGGCGCGCCGAGGTTCCAGGGCTGCTTGGCTGACTGCCAGCCCTGCAGCCTCCCTCGGGGGTCTGAGAACCAAGCCGGGCTCTTTCCTGCCTTTTCATCTTCCCCAGTCATCCAGATCCTGCAGCTCCTGGCTTGCTGACAGCTGAGTAGCCCCACTGTTGTGGCGGGTTTTGCTCAGGTGAAGTGATTGAAATTGATTTAATATCTCTGTTGACTATGCACGGGAAGTTAAGAAAAAGAAATCCAGGGAGTCAATCTTCTCTTGGTTCTGCAGAGATAACAGGAATCAAGAGTGGTACTGACATTTTCTCATTCGTAGGCAGATGCCAGCCTAAACACAGGGGCAGAGCTGCTGAGTACACTTTACATAGCAGAACTACTTAGAACTACTGTAATAGTGAGACAAGTGTTGTTTTATAAGCAGAGCTGCTCAGCAGACAAAATATCTGATGACTAGTTCTCATTTCAGTTCTAGGTGTTCAAAGATGGCGGAAAGACCAGAGGACTTGAACTTGCCCAATGCTGTCATCACTCGGATAATTAAAGAAGCAGTGAGTATTATCGGAGATATAGAAGTGTGCAAGAAGATTGAAGTGAAGACTGAAAACCATAAAGAAGTAAAATGTGCCTGTTATACAGAAACTGGGCCCTATGCTGTGTAATTTTTTAATCTCCTTTTGTGTTGCAGATGATAGAACAGTTTAACAGGAAAGTTGTCAACTTGAATTTCTTATCATTTACTAATAAAAGCCCTGACAATTCTTGTGGGTTTACGGTCACCTTTTTTTTTAGCGTTTTTTCTGCCCCTTGTTGGTTTGAGAGAGACCTACTCAAACAGGGAAATCTGACTATTCATGGTAAAATGAAATTCTTTATACTTAGTGCTGTCAAATGCTCAAGGTAGATTGGGAAAAATAGAGAAATACTTTTCTGTAATCTTTCTTGTATATATTATTTTTTAGAGTAGTAGGTAAAACATTTTCAGGTGGAATTTTTTTTTTTTAAGTTGTAGCTTTATAAGGAGCTCAACGTAGCAAATTCTGGGTTGTTTTCAACTATCCCAAGTGCAAAATCTTGCGTTTCATTTTCAGCTTTAGCTGGTGTGAGAGATATGTCATTTGCTGGGTGCAGTGGTTCTACTTGTTTAAATAATCTGCCATAAAATATTTTGGTATTTAAATTAAAGATATATGTTCTATTTAATGCCAAGCAAACTTTATCTGAGCTGACAAAAGAACAAGTTGACTACCTATTGAGATGGAAGAGAGACTGTTTTCTGACATAAACTGTACTGGATAAAAGGATTTTTTCCTACTTATCCCCCATGCTGCTTTCCTCCCCCCTTTCCCCAGTATCTAATATTTCATCCATTGCCACATTTACCATGAACCTGAAATAATTCAGAGTGCTGGAAAACATTTCGATTCTGCACAGCCACATACTCTGGTAATGGGAAATCATAGAAAACCCTTAGATAGTTGTAAATTTCTTATAATTTACAGAGCACTGACAATATTGTATATGCTTGAACCAGCTCCCAAAATAAGAGCAGAGTAAAGAAGGAAAATAGCTACTAGATCAAGCCCAGTTCCTTGCCAGCAAATGAGATACAATATGTCTCAGTCATTAAATTGATGCTAGGCATGATCTTATCCAAAAGACCAAGAAGGATCAATGGATGGATGCTGCACGTTATGAGACTATCCTTCTATGTTAGGAATTTGGAAACAATTACATGGACTAAGATTGAGGCAGAGGCCAAGTCGACTGCTACTACAAAAGTTACTTTCCCGCTGTCTTCTGGCTATGTTCCTGATCTGGCTAAGCCCGTTCACAGTTAACCAGCTTCTTGCTGTACTTAGATGTTTTATGTATCTGGAACAGTATTTATTATTATTATTTGTATTATTGTGGTACCTTGGAGCCCAAGTCATGGGCCAGGATCCCAATGTGCTAGTTGCTGTTCAAACACAGAACAAAAAGAAGGTCCTTGTCCCAAAGAGCTCACAACCTGAGACAAGAGGTGGATATAGGCAGATGGAGGAGTACAAGGAAACCATAGGATAATATTGGGCATCGTGACAAGTTCACTCTTTGTTAGGGTTTTTGTAGGCAACCTGGCAAAGGAGAGTTTTGAGGAGGGGTTTGAAGGAGGATAATGAGGTGGCTTTGCAGATACTTAGCGGGGACCTCCTCCCAGGCATGAAGGGCAGCAGGGAGAAAGCACCAAAGGGGCTCATTTGAAAATTTAACAAGTGCATGATGGAGGGTGGTATCGTGGGCCGATCAGAGGTGAGAGTCAACATCTCAGTAGTGACTAAGAAATGATAGGTAGGGTCGGGATTGTTAAGGGCCTTGAAAGTGAATATAAGTATCTTATGATTGAAACACTAGAGAAGGGGGAGCCCGTGGAGGGATACAAAGAGATGGGTGACCTAGTCAGAGCAATGGGTTAGGACAATTATCTATGCAGCAGCATTCTTCTAGCCTTATGTCCTGGATCTGTGCTGTGCTCCAGCTTTTAAACAGGCTCTGGAAGGAACCCCTTTAATGTGTCAGACTCCAAGGGGTCTCGCTCGTCCTTCAGGGTTAGCCTTGCAGCCTCACCACCTCCTAGACTGCGTGTCTGTTCCAGCACCCCTGCTTCACACTGTGAGCTCTGCCCAGCGAGTCCAGCTGACATAGACTCCTGGTTAGAGACTTGTACGCTCTTCAGGGACTAATGCACCTCACCAGAATTTGCATTAACACCCAGGTAGCATTTTCAAAACAGATTAAAAGGTTAAAGCATAGTCCATTCTGGTCAAACCAGAGCAATTCACCAGCCAAGGTGTAGTGAACTCCATTTCAGGATCTATCTCCCTCTGACTCCTTAGTGAGACCCAGGAGAGAGCAGCCAGCCTCTTCCAGAACCAGAAGTCCACCCTTATCCTCTGCTGGTCATGTGTCAGTCCTTTGTTCTATAGCTGGGGTCTCTGCTCAGCTTCCCTGCTGAGAGGTGCAGGGGAAACCTCTTTCTCTTTCTTGCTGTTTCCTAGGTGTCATTGTTTTGGCCATTGGGGCTTTTCCATTGTCTCTTTGGGATTCTGCATTGATACGGAGTCGCCTTCAGCAGGGTCCAGACAATTCCTGTCACCCTATTCACTGTAGCCCAAACAAGAAGGTGACCCCCACATCTGATCTTCTGCACTGCCCCAGACTTAATACTTTTCCCTCCACTGGGTAACAGGGCAAAGTGTAGAGGGAAACCGAGGCACACATTAGGATTCATTAAAATACTATAGAAAATTCATTTTCTCACGTTTATTTTTGACTGAACTGATGGCTTTCAGTCCTTTCAGACAGGACTTGATAGCCTCCAGATCTATATGATTTGAATTTCGTCTGATAAAATGACATTTCTTTTTTCCCAGCTTCCTGATGGAGTAAACATTTCCAAAGAAGCTCGGAGTGCAATATCTCGAGCTGCAAGTGTGTTTGTGTTGTATGCAACATCATGGTAAGCATCACTGGTGACCTGATCCAATGGACCATCTGATCTGCAGCTAGCCTTTTTGTTGGCTCTCTTGGAGAGGATTTTTGCAGTAGCTGTAATGAAAGGCATGTTTATCATTCATGTATATGAGACATTATAAAGTTTCATCTGGTTTTAGTTTGTAATGTGACCTTTGTGTAATATAATCTTATGTTCAAAATTAGTTTCTTGATTAAGTAGCATGCTGCCATGCTAACTTTCGAAGAGGGGCTAGTGATAAATCAACAGGGCAAATGCTTTGCTTCTGTGTCAGTGGCCAGTATTTGCTGCTTCATAATGCCCTCAGTTACTTGCCCAATATATACATCCTGGGGGCCTACAGAGGTGGTGGTGGATTACTTCCTGTCGCCTTCAGTGATCACCTTGTGTCCTGAACCGTCACATTTGATTTACCTTTATCACTACGCTTTATCATGTTTCAGAAAACACTGATCATAAAATTATAGAGCCTTTTTATAGCAAACATTAATTTACATAAGGGCTCCTTGTTCTTGGGGTATGTGAGCCCATTGTAGCCTTACGACTTCCCTTCTGAGTGTTAACCTAAGTAGTGTAGGAACTAACTAGGCATGTTTCATAGTGTATGTTAAATTACTCATTCAGGTTTAAAGGGTTTAGCTTCCTCCTGCACCTAAATTCTCTGTTTAAATCTATAGTAGTTGAAATTCAAACATCTTTAAAATGTAATAATAAAATTAAAAGGTATACCATCAAGTTGAATACTAGTCAACTTTTAAAAAATGAATTCAACTACACTTGTAGTAACTACATATTTGTTACAGTGTCCTTGAATCGCTCTGCCACTTTTAATAGTTTTACAACCAGATTTAAATATGTATTTTCTTTCTTGTTACATCTGTGAAAAACCCACATAAATGGAAAACTCCCTGACTATACAGGGAAACAATGAAACTGACTATACACACATAAATGCAAAATGTAAACAAAGGTGGTTTTTTCTTTATTCTGTTATAGTTAGATTCTTGGTCAGTCATCCTAGGTATATCTTATAATAGTGATTAAACATTTCTGAGGGCTGTGATTGTTTTTTAAGAATCAGAGGGGTAGCCGTGTTAGTCTGGATCTGTAAAATCAGCAAAGAGTCTTGTGGCACCTTATAGACTAACAGACATATTGGAGCATGAGCTTTCATCGGTGAATACCCACTTCGTTGGATGCATGTCATCCGACGAAGTGGGTATTCACCCAAGAAAGCTTATGCTCCAATACGTCTGTTAGTGTATAAGGTGCCACAAGACTCTTTGCTGATGGTTTTTTAAGTTGGCTCTCTCCCTTTAAACAGACAGTAGTTGGGGTTGGTTTGCTCTTTGATATTAATTCTTTTTCCTCTCTTTAGTGCAAATAACTTTGCAGTGAAAGGAAAGAGGAAAACACTGAATGCTGGAGATGTCCTCTCAGCCATGGAGGAAATGGAGTTCCAGAGATTCATAGCCCCTTTAAAGGAATCATTGGAAGGTAACGTGTTCTCTAACTGTACAATAAATTAGTCCTAATGACACTGAGTCCTATTTACCCAGAAGTTTGGACATCCAACTCTTATGTTCCCTGAATCATCTTTTTTAAGCCAGACATTGCAATTTTTATGGGGACTTATGAACAGGTAGTTTAATAGAACTGATATGATGTAATTTCACAAAGGTGACTCATCTAATCTATCTCCCCCATCACTTCTGTGTAGAGGAAGCCTTGTGTTCTGCGTAATGCACATGAGCTCCTGTATCCTTCTCGCCATCTTTCTGCTGAACAGCACTTAACATAACTTCTTTGGAGTCTATCACCACAACTCAAATAACAGGTTGGGTATCTGCTATCAAGAGGGTCAGTGCTCCATTTGTTGTAAGCCTGGAGAGCAAGGGGAGACCCTGGGTCACAGGAACGGGAGCCACCTCTAGATTGTCCCTACAATGGATACAATGACATACGTGTATCTAATTGTAGTTCTCTTGTTCTGTTAGTTTACAGGCGTGAGCAAAAAGGCAAGAAAGAAGCAAGGAAAGACAAAGATAAGAAGGCAGACTCTGAAGAACAAGACAAGAGCAGGGAGGAGGAGAATGATGATGATGATGAACGGATGGAGGAGGAGGAACAAAATGATGATGAAGAAGTGGATAACTGAGCTTCCTGGAGAGACAGACATGCACATGGGCCTGGGCTCTCTTCCTAGGGATATAAATACTGTAAATCAACCTTCTTGTGTCCTCTTGTTTTCCAGTTTCCAGCAAAGCTTCATGTTGTTCCTCTGGGGCCCATCCCTCCTGGCTTTAATTCTCAGATGTAGGCGGGCACCCTGAGGAGACTGACACAGCTTCTGGAGTGGAAAGGCCACGTCTTCCCCATTGCATGGGGCACTTGGCACACACTCTCCAGATTCTGAAAAGCCATTGATTGATATAAATGACTGGTCTTTAATACTGGATTTGTTCTGCGATGCAAAATGGAATTTCAGAGATTCCAACAGAGAAAGCTGTGCAGGAGAATCTGCAGAAAAGTGTTGAATAAGTTTGTTTTTGCTAACTAGGTCTGAGTTTGAATGTAATAGGCCTTAGGCCTGTTGCATTTAGGTTGTATGGAATATGTTAGAGAGGTGCCATAATGGTTTAGAATGCTGCGCAGATGAGGGTTTCGTATAAGGTGGGGATTGAGGTTGTCTTAGCTGGATCCTTTCATTCTGATTGTGCCTTCTCTTTCGAAAGTGACTGACAGTCCCAGTAGACAAGGATCAGCTCTCCACAGGACTGACTCTTCTGCCCAGGATCAGTCAGAGTCAAAGGACTGTACTGTGCTTCTGTAACATAACTTAATACCAGAAGTGCTTATTTTTGTTTTTAAAAAATACTGAGAGCCTGACAGGGTTTTTATAAAAATACCTGAAAGAAAAGTAACTGCTAAGAAAGCTCAACTCTGTCCCAAGTGTGATGCTGGGGGAAGGTTTGGAAGTTTAAAGGAAGTGTCATCCCAATCTAATTGTTTTTCCTACTTGTAGTAGTTTTGGTCTTTCTGTACTTGAGGTCTTGCTGCTGAACACCTTCCCCTTTTACACGTGGAGAAGGTACTTCCTGTGAGGAGCTCATCCTTCAATAATAACCCAGTTCTGTGTAGTCTTTAAAGAAAAACTTAACTTTTATTTGACCTAAACTAAAATCTGACAAAGGAAAGTTGGAAAAATTTGAAATAAGTTAAAAATTGTTAAAAATTCACCAGTTCTGATATACCAGTTAAAACATGAGTGAGTGCTTGTATGAAACAGCACAACTTTGTTTTTCACTTCTGCTGGAGCAACACACACAGAGCAAACATTGCAGAAGTTCTGTTGCTCTCACATTGCTACAGCTGTGATAACTCCTACATGCAGATCCCAGATGGAGGAAGTCACTATCTGACAATCAGCAAAGATCTGTTCTTCAGCTGCTGCAGGACTCCACATTTAAAACAACTGAAGTTGTGACTGTCTCTGTAAAGGTGTTCAGTTAGACAAGGAGATCATCCTCGCAGCTCTGGTTTTCTCTTGTAATACATACGTGAGCTCCATCTCCTCTTGGGAAGGAACAGTATTTTATTTAAATAAAAGCCAAGTTCTCTATGGAAATGGAGCCGGTGCTTACTTCCTCCAGCCAGTAATAATAGAAGCTATTTTCAGTTACACAACCACAAACTGCCCATGTAGCCACAGACAGGTGCCAACCTCACATAAAATTGCTGAAGGAGTAGATGATAAGAAGAGTGGTTTTAACTGGGCACGCCATCAGACTTCTGCTGTGAGCGAGTTATGGGGGCTTGGATCCATAAAGGGACTTTGTGTGTTGCAAGGAGTAAATCAGGAGGAAGAACTCCTGCAGGATGTAGGAGACCCCAGTTCAATTCCCCTCTCTGCCTGATGCAAAGGGATTTGAACAAGGATCACCTACTTCTCAGGTGAGTGCTCTAGACTATAGAGTGACTCTGGTTTTGGCCCAATTGATTGTTAAAGTGGAATAGCTTCAACAAGAGCGAGTGAGACCCTCATCAGAATATCCCATAGTCCAGTGGATAGGACACTCATTTGAGAGGCCTTTCCTCTTACTGAGCTTGTGCAGAAAATCTAGTCCATGTTTCTCAACCTTTTTGAGACCAGAGACCGGCTTGTTGCCTTCCTAAACGGTCAGGGCGCTGCTCCATGGACAGGTCGTTGAGAAACACTGTCCTAGACCTTTCACAGTTTGGATTCAGTCAAACCATGGAACTAAAGCAAGGAAGTGAAGGGATGTTAGGTAGAGGGTGGCCCTACAGTCTTCATTCACCTGGCTGCATCTCTCACCAGACTGCTTTGCTCACTGAGTCCCCTACTAAGGCTGAGGTGGTGCTTGCTGGAAGAAGGTGAGGTTTCAAAGAGCTAGTAGCTACAATGTGGTTTACACCAGTCCAAGACACCTGCTCACAATGTAACCAGTCAGCTGCTGGCCAGAAGTATTACAACACTCAGCTGTTGCTAAAAGCCTTTGTATCCACATCTGCAACAGATTAATTCTCTCTCTGGTTGGGGTGCAATCTTCTGGCCAACGTTCTAGGTGCTGACCTAGCCTCGATAGCAGACAAGCTGGATTACAGCAATACAGTTTTGTGGGCTTGAAAGTATGAACTCTGGCTGGTACAACAGGTGTCAGTGTCTTCTCAGCAACACAGTGTATTAGGAGTAAATCATCCTTGTCCTTTGCTTGCTATGCTGGCTTCCCATAGAATACTGCATCACGTTCAAGGTCTTGGTCCTTATTTTCAAAACATTTAATGATCTGGTTGTAGGATACCTAAAGAGATTATGTCATTCTCTGGGCCTATGAGTGCTCTCACCAACTCTGCTCCATTGGCACAATGCTACCACTAGGGTGAAACTTGTCTTTGCAGGAGATGGGGCCTTCTTGGAGGCTCATCCAGGACTGTTACTTGCTCCAGCAAGAGTCCAGATCTGTGCAGATCTTTCCAGTCCAAGTGCAGATGCTATTTCCGAGACTTCCTCATAGGGAACCCGCTGGAGAGTGTCTAGCAGGAATCGACTCTGGGGGCAACCAAGGGGTGGATCATGGCAGCGAGGCCTGAGAGAAAGGTTGCAACCTACTTCCCAGCTGCAGAAGAGCTACAGCTGCTGCTGTCTGGGAATCCTGAAGCAGCCAAGGGTCCAACAGAACCCCTCAATGGGGAACAAAGGGGGCACAAACTCCCTCAGTGGGGGAGCAGATACCCAGGCCACCCCAGCTCCGCTTCAGCTTTGGTGACCTTGAATTCACTTCCTTGCTTCGGTATGGGAGCCTAGACAGTTGTTAGGCTGTTTCTTTAGTAAGACCAGTAGGGAAAGGACTATCCCTCTGCTTATTCATGGTGTTCCTGGACTTGTCAGCAGATGGTGCTCATCCCCTTGAAATCAGGCAGTTCACTGCTCCGGGGACTGCCCTGCAGTATTGCAACCAGGAGCTGGATTTTCCCAGGTGTGTGGTGGAGAGTTTCTGCCTTTCCACCAATCCTGACTAAAATGTAGATCTACGGTGTACAGATCATCAGCCTTCCTAGCTGGGCTTCATTTCACTGCTTGATTTTCTACACCAAAGTAGAAAGAATTCTTGTTTGGCTTGTGCATTGCCTAAGCAGCCTTCCTCCTGCTCCTCCATGCCCAAGCTCCTTCCTCGGCCGCCTGGGGCGGGCTGTTTAACCAAACTTCTCTCCTCAGATTGCTGGGAGCTCCAGGCTGATATTGATCAGTTGCTTTGGGTTGCTGTTAAGTTGCATCCATGTAATTTAAGTTCCAAGCACATCACTAACCGCTAGCCTTGACTACAGCTGGCCTCTGCCCCTCCACAGAAAGAGGCGCTCTCCAGCCAGAGAATGGGCATCCATGGCACATTTGTTTCTGGTGATGCACTGGGCTCTGTTACTTCTCATGCAGTTAACTCAGTTCATTTAAACACGGGAAGCATCACAGAACAAAAAGGTGGCGAGGAGGCAAAGAATGAACTAGTTAAAATGAATGGGCCAAATTCATCCCTTGTGTAAAACTCCATTGACCTGGTGGAGTTCTAACAAGGATGGTGTTGGCTCAGTCTCCCTTTGCGGAATCAATGGTGTCTGTCTCAGGAGTCACTACGTAACACTCCTCTGACGCCTACCCTGGCAAGTTCCTGAATATTTAGAAGTTGAAGTTGTGCAGGAATCCTGATCTGGCTTGGCCACTGCAGAGAGTGTTACCATGCAGAGATCTGGGACAGGAACGTGATCAAACTAGCATCCCCCGATCCTAGGGGGTGGATTGAGAAATGGCAACAGGGAACTCTTGCAAGGCAGGTGATTTGGCAGTGTGTGCTGGGAGCTGGTGTGATGTGTGGCTGGCTGGCTATGGCAGTGGCAAAAGTTGCTTTCATCTCCAAAGCGAGATGAATCAGAAAGCTAACGATCAAGTGGGAGTCTCTTGCTTTACGACCCATCATATTCTGACTGACCTACCTTGTCTGTAGTGTTTGGAAGGCCCATCCTTCCCTTCCCTTCCCAGGCCTGAGCACTCTGGCAGAGTCTGTGTTTCCTCACCCTCAAGGGACTCTGAGTTCATGGCTGCATTTGGGGCTGGCCCAATACAGTCACAGGTAGGGTGACCAGATCGCAACAGTAAAATATCAGGACATGTGGAGGGGGGGTGATTTACCGTCCCCCCCACCCCACTGAAACCAGGAGCGGAGCTGAGAGGCACCCCTCCCCTGATGGCGTCCTCCCCCTGGCAGAAGCTGGGAATGGAGCTGTGGGACTGAAGTGGGGCTTGGGGTTCCTCACGGCTCTGTTCCCAGTTTCAGTGGGGGGAGGGCGGGCGTCGGGGCTCGGGGCTTTAGCTACAGGGAGGGGAAAAAACAGTGCTCCCCTTGTAGTAAAGCCCCAGTGCCCCCCACAGGGCTGAAACCAGGAACAGAGCTACAGGGCTTCTGAAGCCCCAAGCCCTAGCGCATCCAATGAGGCTGAAACTGGGAGCAGAGCTATGGGGCTGAAGCCTTGAGCCCCAGCGCTCACCTCAGATCTAAAACCCTGAGCTCTGGTGCTCCTGAGGGTCAGAAGCCCAGAGCCCTGCCCCCCCCCCCGCCGCCCAGCGCCCTGACCCCCTCCCCGTGGCTGCAATCCTAATCCCTCCTACCCCCACAATATCTGAAGTCCGTAACATTTTGTTTGGATTTATGGACGTTTCGGAGTTATGGACAATCTCCATTCCAGAAGTGTCCATAAATCTGATGTTCTACTGTACCAAGTTTTAAATTTTACCTGGATATCAGGAAAAATGGCGTCCCAATCTTACATCGATCGGGACGCAGGACAAAGGGTTAAATATCGGGACATCTGGTCACCCTAGTCGCAGGCTTAGTAGCGGAGTATAATCATCCTTGCAGCATTCCAGAGTGGTAATCAGTTACAAGCCGTTAAAGAGAGACTGAGAGAAGCTAACTTTCTTTGAAGTCTTCCTTCCCTCCCGAAAGGAGGCTCTTATAAAAAGCCCCCACCAATGGGAGCCGGTGCTCAGGGCAGCACCTGGGGGTCGGGGACAGCGCACAGAGCCCCTGTGGCCGCCCCTCTGCCTAGGAGCCGGAGGGATATGCCAGCCACTTCCCGGGAGTCAGGCACGGAGCCTGCCTTCCCTGCTGAGTCTGACGCTGTAGCCAACTGGACTTTTAGTGGCGTGGTCAGCTGTGCTGACCAGAGCCGCCAGGGTCCCTTTTCACCCAAGCGTTCTGGTCGAAAACCGGATGCCTGGCAACCCTATGTTTGACGGATCTTCAACTTGCTTCTTTGATCCAAACACGTTCTGCGCTGGAGTTCCCTATGATGGACAGGTAAATACTGGCTCCTCCCTTGCACTGGTTTCCCATTCCTGCTGAGAGCAGAATTGAGGAGAAAAAAGACTATGACTACATTGATGTGTGGAAGGCAGCAATCTCTCCAGCTGCGTTTCTACAGTACTTTGCACAGTGGGGCCCAGATTGTGAGTGAGTGGGGCTTTTAGCCGTTGCCACACTCCCCATGAAATTCTCCAGCTCTTGACTTTACTAACTCATGAAATGGTCTCTGGGTCTCTTACCGTTAGCACACTGAGCACGTGGAGAAAGTCTGGGTTTAATACAAACGGAGGGGCTGAAGGGTGTAAATGTGAAGAGGAGACTTATTCCGGCATGAGTAGATCTGAAAGGTGAGGGTTACACAGAGCAGACTTCCAGCAGCAATAGAAGAGAGCCTTGCCCTTCACTTACAGTGTATCCTGCAGTCACTGACGGTGGAGAATGCTGCCTGCTAAGACAGCATGGTCTCACTCCAAGGCTTCCTTTAGCACAGAACTAAATCTACAACCCCCTTTTCACTGTCAATAGGTTATTGAAGTTTCATTTGCAGCTGCTAAGTGCATCATCACCAATTCTCTAGCTAGGCCTGAGACACAGCCCCATTTCTAGGCTGCTCAGTGCCAGCAGGGTGCCCATCTCTGCAATGCGGTGAGCAAAACTTGCTGTTGCTTACCACTGCAGCCACATGCATAGGGTCCCTCAGCCTCTGAAGTGGACACATGGGGGAAGGGATTAGGAGTCAGATCCTAATTGT